TCCTTTATTAGAGTCATATTTTTTGAATTCATGGTTATAGCCAAGAACAAAGAATAATACTCATGTGCTCAGCCTTGTGTCTATAATAAAAGCAATGTGCAAAAAAGCAAGTTTGGCAACAGCAGCCCAATAACACGGGCTGTTCAGCCTGGACAAGAGTGGTTAGGGAAATACTTGGTGGAGGTGTTAACTTGGTATCTCAAAATCCCTGGAAGATATAAATGTCCAAATCTGAAATATGGGCAATATTAGCCATAAGAGACTAGCCCCAGAAACAGTAAAGGATAAGAAAATGGAAAAATATTAAAAGAAGGAAAATAGAGATGTCATTATGGTAGGAAAATATTCAAAACCCATATTAAATGCCATGGCTCACCATATAAGGGTGTGTTCTCTTAAGTTTAGGGATCACTCTTCTGAGGAAAAGGTGTAGAATGGCAGATCAGATGCTTCGCTGCTTTTCGAGAGCTGTGTAGTGCTGATGAGCACAGGAAGGAACAGTGGGGTGCAACAGAGGGACTAACTGCAGTGCATTCTGTCCGGGACATCAGGGAGTCACCTGCTCTGGGCTGTCTGTGGGTTTGGGATGGCACTTTCATGAGAGACGCTGCCCCAAATTGTGCAGCCCAGCTATGGCATAAAGGCCCAGTGGCTGAGAGGCTGGGCAGGGGGATGTCTACTCATTACGACTTCTGGTGAGCGCTGAGGACACATTTCTGGAGAGCAAGACTGTCCTAAGGTCACTGCCACCAGTTGGCTGGTTTCTGGCTCATCTTTAACCAGAAAATCTAGGTTTCAGGCCAATGTTCAGCCTACTAGTAACAGTGGACACAAATTTTGGGTTTGGGTATAACTCACCTAAAAATACCTCACTTTATTATGTTTTATTTCACAGGGTTAGAGCTAAATCTTTGTAGACCTATATGCAACTCACGGCATTTTTTTGAATGTTCAAGGAAAAAAAATGGCATGTAGATTCATGACAGACTGTTTGACTGTTCCTTAGTTCTTCAGCTCATGGGGAAGCTGGGTTCTTTGGGATGGTAGAGGATCTGACATTTCCTTGAGGTTGTCAGTGGAATGGCCCTATTTCCTAAGTCTTTGTGAGAGAACAATGTCATCATCACTGTGCCATATTTCTCATCTTCAGGTTATCCCTAATATCATCTAACCAAATCTTGATGGAGTTAAATCTGATAAAGTACCCAGAAAACCATACCTTTAAAGGCAGAGTTAAAGGAATTGGTGATAATTAAATTATCAGACTTGGGAATACATTAGAACTATTTAAATATACGGAAGAAGTTGAGTGGTAATGAATTATATATCTCCATATGTTTTCCAGAAAGAAAAGATGAAATTGAAAAACACTGAGCATTTCTTTAAAGCAAGAAGAGCCTTAATCAGTAAATTGCTCTCCTTTCTGAGATTGTTGGGCTAAGTCCTCTGGTTATATCCTACTGCATTACACACATCCTCAAATCTAGACGACCATTTTATCACATCTCATGATTTGGTGGGTCAGGAATTTAGGCAAGGCTTGGCAGAGTGATTCTGCTCTAATGTAGCATTAAGTGAAGTCACCTAGTGGTACTCAGCTGGTGGATGGGCCGGTCTGGAGTGCCCAAGATGGCTTCACTGTCATTTATGGGGCCTTGGAGGAGCTGGCTAGAAGGGTGAGCTCAACTAGCATGGTTGACCAGAGCATTCACAGGTAGCTTCTCCAGTGTGGTAGTATCAAAAGTAGCTGAACTCCTACATGGAAGCTCAGGACTTCCACAGAGAGGATGTCAAGCGACAAGAAGTAAAAGCCACCGGTCTCCCAAGGTCTGGCTCTGAGAACTGGCAGTGCTATATCTACCACATTCTCTTGGTGGAAGCAGCTATAGAGCCTGCCTAGAAACAAGGGGAGGGAAGGGAAGGTGGACCCCACTTCTCAGTGGGAGGAATGACAATGATTTTATGGTTATTTATAATCTACCACCTTAAGATAACAAATTCTAAATCTGATTATAACTTTTTTCATGATATACTTTCCCACTGTCAAAACTTTCTCAAACAAGAAAGAAGAGGAACAAGCCCTCTTTGTGTTATAGGCACTTGCTTTACTAATAGGAAATACTCATAAGGACCCCTTATGTTTGAATTATTTTCAGGGTTGCTGAAACATGCTTAGATGATTATTTAAGTTCTAGAACAGTGGCTAGTGTGAAAATTAATGGGAATTCATAAATTGTATCAGCATCAAGCTTCCCAAGTATCTTTAAAAAATGTCCATTGTCTTTGGAGCCAGAAAATGTTCAGCGTAACTCCTGGCAAGTGAGGTGAGCACAATTTCCTCATCACTTCTCCTGCAGCATTGGAGGTGCTATTTTTCTTCTCATTTATTCATGTGTTTGTTTTTATAGAGTGATTTCACACACACACACAAGATGCTGTTTTTTTGTTCTTCTATAGAGATTTATGAAGGTAACATGGAGTCTCAGTGAGCTGAGGTACTGAGAACAGAAGGAAAAACCTGTCCCAAGGTGGGAAGGAGTGTCTCTAGAAGCAGTTGGCTCTCTTGGGTATTGAGTTGGAGAGCTTTGCCTTGAAGACGGAAGTGAGACTGTCACTAGGAGCAAGGTCCTGGGTCTTTAACAGTCCATGTCCATGGTAATTATTTGGCTGCTCAAACTTTAGCTTCTAGGAACTTGTCTGTCACACTTGTATCAGTTTCTGAAGTGGACAGTTCCCCTTGACATGCTATCCCTCCCCCTTTATCCACTTGGGCCCTAGTATACCACGTTTCCTATCCTTGAACCCAAATGTAGCCACACCCCCAATCTTATACCAGCTCACTGACCTGAGGTAGGCATTCCACCCCATACTCTCTTGGCCTTGTTCTTCCTTGACCCACCCATGGTTTTAAATTCTGTATCCAGTTTTTTTATTAGCAGCCACGACACAGCCCAGAAAGAATAACATCTGATTCCTGGAAGTGCTTCAACTCTGATCCATACCTGTATTTCTGTGGCTACAATCCTTGTAAATACCTTCTCATGAACGATCTCATGAGTTGCTCTCATGAATATAGAAACCCCAGCCCCCCCTTGCTAGGTACTCCCCATCTCACCATGCCATGCTAATTGCAGTTCCCCAGAAGGGCCATGTTCTTTCTCTTCACTGGGCTGTTACATGAGTTCTTCTCTGTCAAATGATCTCCAACTTACCTCTTACTTTTTTGGTCAAGATTCAACTTAAATCTTATCTCCATTATTTTTGGAGATATTGGGGAGGCTTTTTTAAGGAATTTTTTTCTCTTTATTCCATGGTACTCTGGGCATACCTTTATTAACATACCCATGCCCATGTGCCTCATCTGATTATATATCTGGTTCCCTTTGACTTGTATACTCTAACCGGGTAGGGACCATGGATTTGTCATCCTTGAATCTCTAGGCTCTGTTTGATGCCTAATGTTCAGTAATATTTGCTGAATTCGTGTTTACACCCACTAATGAATGAATGAGTGGATGGCTGGAATAAAGGATGGATAGACAGTGGGAGGGCTGGTTGTCTGGTGGGAGGAGGGCTGGATGGTAGAAGAGATGAATGAATGGGTGGTCGTGTTGGTTGACTATTAAGTTTATAATAACATTGGAAGGATGTTTGTAAATGATGACTTTACACCTGGAATTTTGTGAGTTTTGATTGCTGATGAATCTTGCACAAACTCCATTTCCTCCCACAATCCTATTATAAATTTGTACATATTTTTATTATTATACTGAAGCTCTTTGAAGAGTCTTGAAGTTGGTTTTAATTCAGCATTCTTAAAACTCTATTTAAAGAGTGTACAGCGAACTAGGGATTGATTTCACTACCGATTCCTACCCCAACCTTGATTTGCCGTGATGCATGGCTTCCCAAGCCTTTTTAGGTTCTTTATCCACAGGGTGAAAATAATCATATTTACTTCATTTACAGGACTGATGAAGTGAAATTATTTGAAAAAAACATATGTTTATATATATATATTTATGTATATATATATGTTTATATATATATATGTTTATATATATATATCTTTCATATCTATCAATCATCTGTTTACTTATCATCTATCATTTATCTGTATCTATTATCTATATCTATCTTCATCTGTCTATGTAATCGATCATCATTTATCTACCTTTTCTATTACTTGTCAGTCATTATTTTGTATGTGTTGTTATTAAGGTTTGTTTGACATATCCCCAGAAGGACATTGTGGAAATTTAAGTATTGGTACCCCTTTTAGTCTCTGAAGTTATAAACACAGATAAGGATTTATTCAGAAACATGGAGGATTAGCACAAGCAGGAACTAGAATTCTGTCTATACTGCTGAGATACATTGCTCATTACTACTGCTATAATATGAGTTTTAGAGCCACAGCATTATTAAACAGTACAGAATGCTAGTTGTCAAAGAGTGTGGGCTGGCTCTAAGGCATGAAGAATAGATTTTAAGTGACAAGTCCAAATCAGTTAGTAATAATTGCCTGTAGTAATGTGTTGAGAAGTATTCTGAGGCTCTATCTGAGCTACAATTGTTACTGATGTCTGCATGAATATTGGATCTCCTGTACATTTTGCCATATATTTTCTGTCTCTGTTCTAAGACCAGAAAAGGTGTTCATATGATAGTCATTCACCCTGGTTTGTCCACTGATTCACCATATGATTCATGAAATAATTCATGAAAAAGTATCAGCAGAGATTTTGCAGTTTCTGGAAGTAGCTTTTGAACTGAATATGTAAACTTCCTACTTTGGTGAATGTGGCTAATAGAATGCAGTGTCAGCTGTGGGAAAGCTAACTATGAAATCATATTCATTAGAGGAATTTTCTTTCAATGGGAAATGCTTGTTTTCCCATCCAGGGTTGTTATCTGCTGCTAAGGAAGGGTGGTTTCTTGAGCAGTTTTGGTTAGGAGTGTGTTGTACTGAGTATTAAAAGTGTTCACTTGGGCACAGATGCAAATGCAATCAGACTGACTTTATTTTAAGCTTTGATTACATTCTAGTTAATAAGAATGTACTATGCTAAGCCAGTTTAACAGTTTTATACAATGCATTTTATTTCATAATTGAGTATTGGAAGACTTGGCAAATGCTGTGAGATTACTTAATAGAGTTAGGTATGATCCACCTGTGAAAGGGACCAGCTAACCTTCATGAATCCCTGGTGCTGAAGGCCCAGGAACAGTCTCAAAAGCTTAGAAATGTGCTTATGTAGATCAAAGAATTCCATTCTGGCTTTTCCTCCAGCTTCCTCTCCACTGTTCTTTTTTTTTTTTGGCTAAGAATCAGAATCTACTGACTTAAATCACCCCCTAAGCATATTAATCAATAATTTTGATCACAAATCAGCCTTGCAAATAAATATCCAAAGGTCCCTGTTGGAACCTCGGAGCAAAATACAAATGATGTCAATGTCCTCTGTCGTTTGGTCTGCACCAGCACTGGCTATTTGCAAGGCAGAGTCCATATTACTTCGCAACACCCGAGTGTCGAGTGCTGACATGAGGTCTCAACATGGGTGACGGGAAGGACAAGAGAGAATTAGTGGCTGCCTGTCTGGTCACTAAATTTACTAGCTTTTCCAACTTGTTGGGCTTATTCTGTCTCTAAAAACATACCTGGACCTGTGTCATTGTGCAAAGGAGATGATCCCAGAGACACAGATGAAGTATAATCGTTAATTAAAGAGACTAATTATTCATTTCACCTGTCCCAAGTCAGCCTCATTACTTTCTAGTACTGCAGCCCAGAAGGGGTTAAAGTAAGGGATACTGGTTCCTGCTGATCAAACCACAGTGTGATACTACCTATAAAATGCACCATAAAACTACATTATTTAATAGATCTGAGTATTGCACCTGCTTTCATATCTCCTCTTAGGTGATTAAGTTTCCCACAAATGCAATTTGTTAATATGGGGCCACATCTTCTCACAAGGTAAATCTGTGAAATTTGGCAGGCAGTCTCTTTGCTGCAGGTGCAAGATCAAAGACCTTTCCATGGCTTTGCCAAGAAGAAAAGTGATTTTATACTCAATTCCTGGGGAAAATATTCTCACACAGAGGGTAGAATCTGATTCTAAGAAAGTGGGACAGAATTATAGGACCCAAATCATATGCTTCCCTCCCTTTTGGGATTGTTACCCCCAAAAGGCTGAGTGGAGGATAAGAAACGTTGTTTAACATGAGGCCAGGTATTGCTAAGGGAAGTCCTCTGATATATGGATCTGTAGCCTTTTGCAGTGATAAATGATAACTTTTATATATATGAGCTATGAGAGCTTAATTAGAGCTTAATTAAAGCTAATACTCGAATCCTTTGGAAGGTGGAACAATTAAAAACTAACTTCCATACTGAAAAATATGCCTTTGAAATACCTGGCATCACTGCTATGGGACCCTACCCAGTCCCATGTCTTCACACCTAAGTTAAAGCAAGAGCTGACTATTTTTGCATTAAACTTTGCTTAGCTGAGACTGCAAGGGGTCAAGTGACTGAGTCCATCTCAGTCCACTGTGCATTTACACAGAAGGTCGTCTTTGAATCTGCAAGTCCAGCTCGCCAAACACGTGTCTCAGGGAGTCACTGGTCAGGCTGGCTATCAGCTTTCGAGGGCCGGAGACCCATGGCCGAACCACCTCTTCCCATTGCACAGTGGAGTCGGGTCGGATTTCACTGAAAGGTTGGGAAAGAGAGGAAAGGTTTTACTCTCCAGAGTGGAAAATCCAGTTTTCTGTCTTGCTCAGGAAGCACTGAGAATCTCTGCCTGAGATACATACTCTCTTTCTTTCAGTTGACAGTGGGTAGAAGGCTGAAGGGTCTGGTTGGCTGATTCCACCAGTTACAACCCAAATAAGGTCCCTAGGTGAGGCTCTGCTGATGACAGTCCCATTAGTTCAAGGCTCCTTCCACTTGGGTGCATTGGCTGGCCTCCTAGTAGATGCAGTCCACCAAGCACGTGGAGGAGCTGGGCTGAGTCTCCCATCAGCCTCACGTTCTTTGGACTTTAGATTGTCCCCAAGCCTCCACATAGCCTTGGGTGTGTGACTGATGTACCTTGGCTCATTTTGGGGCATTCCAGTTCTCTCCTGGCATTAGATTCCTATCTAAATTCCCAGCTGCCTTTGCTGAGGTCCTGAAATTCTAATTAGATCTTGGGATAGACCTTTCCCAGGCCCAAGATCTAGAACATACCCTGCCTGCTGTCAACTGACTTTCTCCATACTCTAATTTGTAATCCTGTTTCAACCACCTGATTGGGTCCTCCCACCCAGGTACCTTTCTGCTGCTTGTTTGTAGCCATCCTGATAATAGGGTTAGCCTTTATGGTCCTGGTGTTCTCCTCTTCCTCTGCAGCCCAAGACCTTTATGGCCAAGCCCACCTTGGAGGATGACTGAGGGGTTGCGGCACTTAGGCTTCTCCGGGGTGCTTCACATCTATCACCCATGCCAGCCTCAGGAGGAGATTATATGCAGGTTTTATATGTAGGATAGATGCTATTGAAGTAGATACTATTCCACACACTTTATAGTTAGGAACACAGAAGTTTAAACAAGTGAAGCAACTTTTCCAAGATCTTACAGCTGTTCACGGGCAGAGATGAGATCTGGCCCCAAGTTCATCTGATTCCCAAATCCATGCTCTTTCTACTAGAAACCAAATTTCATACTGTATCCCCCAAGAAAATGCCTTTTCTGACCATTGTGCTTGCTTTTACACATGTCCGATTTCTCAAGCAGAACAGTGCCCTTTATTCAGGACTAAGAGCTTCCTGCAAGTGTTGTTCATGGAGGATTCCTGGCCTCCACTCTCCGACCCTCAGGGAGGGCCTGTCCTGGGTGACTGTGTGGAATTCTGATCACTGCTTTTCTGGGAGAGCAGGGAGATGAATGGAGACCACCGTGGCCTCATACAAAGACTTGTAGAAGGCAGACACTATGGAGTATTGAATAGGGCATGCAGGGGGTGGTGCAAATTAATATTTGTAATGTACTTAGAATGTTGGTAAGATATGATAAGAGCCAAGTATTAGGTTTGTGCTGTTGCTACTGTTATTATATTATTGGCACCATCATCTTTGTGGTGTTTGCTCCTCTTCCTGAACTCTGCAAAACAATTTAGGAAAGTAAGTTCTTCCTGCCTGTATGCAGAGAAATAGTTCTTTGTTCTTAATTTATAGTGACCAGTTCAATATGAATAGGTTTTGTGATATTTATTTCTCAGTAGCTGCGCTATTTTTGCCCTGATCCAGTCATTCTCTCCTCCCTGGATTCCCCAAGTGATCAATCAGAAATACTTTGCAAAATAGTCATCTTACTTAAGAATCTGGTCGAGGGCCATGACATGAAGGTAACTACCTCAAGCAGAAAATATAATCCCTGAGTTTTACTTCATTATTTGCTTTTACTCACAAACTCACCCCCATAATGATATTTATACATGTATCTCACACATGGATTCTCATGCATGTATATATACATGCCCGGTCATGAGTATCATACAAAGATACATATGCATACCTAAGTATGCATCTACTTGCAGATAAATGCAGAAAATGCATAGAGAAAGAGAGAAAAAAAATTACTCATCTTGCTTAGTGAAGTAATATTGGAATAATCCTATTTGCCTGGGGATACATGTTGTGATAAATGATTCTCAGTAAGGTGCTGAGTTATCACAATACTCTGGCCATTTATCATCTTGAATGCATGCAAGCAAATGGGATTAGTATTACAACAAACTGAAACTCTCTGTGGTTTGTCCTCCATGTGTCTAGCCCTCAGCTTCCATCCTACTTGAGAAACTCAAAATTTAAAACAAAACCACAAAGCCAGGGAACTTTTCTTTTGAAATAACGTACTGAGCCTGACCATTTTTTAAAAAGAAAAATGAATGTGGAAGATGAATTATTTGATGAAGTATCGAGTGCAGAAACTTGAAAGCTGAGAGTCTGTGGGGTAGCACCGCCAAGCATCTGAGATAGGTTGGGGGTGGTTGGGAAGGAGCAGGAAGGCACACCTTCTCAGAGCAGAGTTGGCTCATACCCTGAGCAAGGAATGGGACACAGCACTGTTTTCCTTGTCCCTAGTTCAATTCCCTGCTTGCCAGCTCCCACCTCCCAGGCTCTCTGCTTTGAGCTGAAGACCCACCTGCTTTCTCTGTCCCTGGCAGGGTGTGGGTAGAAGGGTCGGTTGGTAATTCCCTTGATTACTCAAGATGTGTATCCTAAAGAGGAATACAGTCTTGTAAAGGATTCTGGCTCTACAGAATAGCCCTTTTCATGGGTCCAAGTTGTTACATGGATGCCACTCTTAGATCAGATCTTGGCAGCACTGGGTACACTGGAGTGCTTCTAATTATCAGGCAGTACGCATGTGGGTGCTGGCTGGCTCAAGTCTCAGTTGTGAAAGTGTGTGCTAGAGTTAGGAGGAGACAGAGAAAGTAGTGCTCTCTCCACAGTTCTAGTCTACTCCAGAAAATAAATATTTTCTCAAGTTCTTCACAAGTTTTGACAGTTGCTGAGAAATAAAGCTTCCCTTGGCTTGGAAAGATCCACCCTCTAGATCTGGATCCCCATAAGAGACTGAGGGCCCGGCTTTCTGTCTGTTACCTGCCTGCCATAGCCCAGTATGTGGGAAGTAACTACTAATAGTACCCCAAGGCAGAGTGTGGGTCGGGCATTTGCCTTGTGCCCACGCAGGGAGTGGCCTCTGCCATCCTTTATGGTTTGTCCCACCTTCCTCTCAGATATTAACCATAAGCAATGCACCTGGATACTCAGCCTATTTTGAGCTCTGTACCTCCCAAATGGCAGGTCATTGCAGTGCGTGAGGATTAATCCTCTTACTGTATAGATTGCCTCTTTTCATGAGTTGGCTTGTAATCAAGGTGGAATTCTTGGCACAGCCAAAGTATAAAGGAAGAAGGAGGGCCTGGTGCCCTTGGATGAATCTTGTATGGTTACTATTTGAAAGGGAAAAATTGGATACAGCAGGGGGCTGTTCTGAAGAAGAAATGTGTTTCACTTTGCCTGAGTGATTCTTGCATCTGATTCAAGTGGGAATGTGTGAGAACGGGTGAGTTAGACTGTCGTTTCTGATGAAAGTGGGGCTATCACTGCTGACCTCTCCCTCTAGCTGAGGTTGACTTTTAATTTAATTCTCTTTTTTTCCCTGCAACTTTCCTATTAGCACAGGAAGGCAGTTATGTCTTGTGCTTGCATTTTATTAGAAGCTCTCAAATTATTTTCTCAGTTGTTTATTGCATTCACCAGCATCAGGCATCTCTTAAACGGTGGGATGCAGGAGCTGTCATTTGCAAGCCATGCAGAGAGCCTTTAGTGGAGAAATTGTTCCTTAAAGGTGCCCCAGGAGGGGTAAAGGAGGCCTTGTACTTGTCACAGATTTAGAGCAGGGAGGCTTCATAGAGGGTATTGGGGAAATTCTGGTGACTGGCCAGTTTCCAAAGCCCCTCCACCAACCTTTCTATGCCATAGAAGGTCACCCCGCAGGAAATATGCTAGATAGATTGATAGTGACGGGGACTTATTTGTGGTAGAAATCAAAGTAATAAGCCTCAAAGATTGGGATCCATTCTGGGTGTCACACTTAAGAGGGGCACTGACAAATAGGACTTACTTTGTGGGAGAGAGAGGGAGCTGAAACTACATTAGGAGGGAGAGGAATGAAGTCAGGGTAGGTCGAGACAAGACTCAGGATGATGTGACAGTTGTTCGAAAACATTTGCAGTTCAGCAGGTGGAAGAGAGATGGGCCTTATTCTGTGTTGGGTCCAGAAGAGAGTTACACTTGATATGTTCCACAGGTGGAGTTGTTTCCTAGTAATTAGAGCTGCCTGACCATGGAATGGGCTGCCTTGTTGGGTGACACTGTTTGTCAGTAGAAGTCACAGGAGCTGAGAAACGTGTGGCACAATCCAGTGGTGCCGGAGTAGAAGCAGCCGAGTTTCATTCGCATCACCACAGAACTGTGGGTAGTCACTGGTGCCCTGAATATGGAACCAAGTCTAGAACTCTTTAGATTCACGTTGATTCTACTGAAGGTAATACTTCTAGAGGGTGCTTGGGTTGGTGAAATCTGGGTGACAGTGTTGGAAAGAAAGGACCCATGGAAAGGACATCTTTCAAATAATCTCTGCCACACAGTGGGTACTCAATAAATAATAGAATTGATGGACAGAGAGGTAGTATGGCAAATGCTTGAACCTTGGGTTGTGGAATCCTGAGTCTGAACCTTGGCACTGCTCTTAGGGTGGTTTTAAGGCTTAAATGATGGAAGTGCTGGTCATACCAACCCTTTCTTTGTCCCATGCCTTGTAGAAATGGCTAGTAAGAAGGCAGCAGCTTCGCATGTGTGTTCATTGGGGATTGACACAAGTTTGGAAAAGATAGAGATAAAGCTGTCCACTCGCCCACATCACCTTCCCGCTTGTCCTGCCCCGTGCTTACCGGAACATCTTCCTCATTGGTTTCAACACTCCTGGACCGTCCAGGTATATCCAAACATTTTTTAGAGTTTCTTTTAAAGGATTGGTGAACTCAACTGTCACAACCATGTCAGAGCCAACCACCTTAGCACCACGGACCTGAGAAATAAATTGGGGGAGAATGTGGCTCGTTAGAGGCACAGAATACCTTTTTCTGCTCTCCTGTGTCCTTAACTATCTTCACTTTTGCTTCTGTTCTACAATATAGTAATTTTTTGGTAATGGCACCAGTATGATGAGACTACCTTACCGTTTTGACTGGGGGGATATCTATTGAGAACAAGATGGAAAATTACTAATGAGAATCATACTCTTTCCCTCATTATAGAAACCACCCTAATTAGGCCTAATGTGACCACCAGCTGCTCTCTGTCAGGAGGAAGTGGAAGCGCATTAGGTATAGCAACAGATTTCCATGGTAAGGGCAGCCAGATAAACTCTGCTTATGGATAGGGCTCAAGTTTCCTGCCAGGACATGGCGGATTCCTGAGTTCAAGAGGAAGAAGGTGCTCCAGGGGGCCTGTGCCTTCTCACTTTAAGGCACACTAGAAAGAAATATGTCCAAGGAGGGACTCCTAACAGTTGAACTTGAAGAAGAGGAATCTGCACACTAGAATAGACAGAAAGACTTTTCATCTGCAGCTATAACATCTGTGTCCAGGGGAGCATAAAGCCCCTTGTTAGTGAGTTGAGCCCTAACAACTCTCAGAAGTATCTGGTGTTTGGCAAAGCATCACGTGAGATGGCCAGACTTCAATGCCAGCTTCCACATTCGCTAGCAGTGAGGACTTAGGTGACTTAACATTTTGAAACATTTTTGTCTCTAAAGCTGGACTGACATTCCTCTGGGGTAATCTGTATATAATGCTATTATTATTATTTGCTCTTTTGCTGTGCTTTCTATGTGCCAGGCACTGTGCCATATGCTTGAAATTATATGTTTTCCCTACACCAATGCAATGAGCTGGAAAGGGTCAGATCTTCTTATTTGTTTAGGAGATCTATATGCCAGATGGGTGGATGTATGGAAGCTCTAAGTATCTTGAGAACAAGATAATAATAATAGTTCTTCCTTTATAAGATGGGATAGAATGAGATAATGCATATAAAGCAGTTAACACACAGCATGGCATCTGGTAAAGGCTCTGTACATTGTAGCTCATGCTTTTTTGGAGTAGAGTTCCTCAGGGTTGTTTTATTCACCTTATATTTTAGCCCACTTTCAACTCCAATACCTAGCCAGTACTGAGAAAATGTTTGTTAAATTAGGTTGTCTGCCTAAACATGGAATTTATAGGTTGTCTGAGTTTTCTATATAACAACCCAGCCATTATTATACCCCATTTCCTTAAGCAGCATATAATACCAGAAAAATCATGTGGAAATGAGTCTTTCTTCCAAGAAGAAGACTCTGCCCAGAGAAGATTCTAGCTTTCTGACTTTAGTCAAGAACAAATCTTTATGACTTTACCTTCTAAGACATAGTTTGTGACTGCATTTATGCCTATGGGATTTTAAAAATCTAGAAGAAAAATGAAAATTGCAACCCGTTCTCCATGTTCATTACATATTCAAATTCTCATTTCCTAAGGCGAGATGGATGGAGAGCTGAGTTCAGAGGGATTGGGGTGGAGCAGGTGATGATCACAATGGTCACTACAATAGGTGTCACCTACAGAGCACAGATTGTATGCCAAGTAGTGACAAATACAATATATATACACTACTCAGATGCATGAACCCTGTCCAAGCACCCCCTCCAACTGCCACTGCCCTCCCCAGGCCTATGGGCTGCAGGTTGGGAATCCCTTCCACACAGGTAGGCTAGCTTCACAGGAACATTCCTGTGCTGTGGAAGGCAAAGTGCACCCTTCCAGGTCACTGATGACAGTGACAGGGGAAATGTAGTATCTGCAAGGCTGGCCCATGTGTGTGGGCCTTCAAGGCTGGGCTTTAGATCTGAATATAGTTAGAAGATTAAGCTTCCTCAGCTAATTTCACATGTCACACCTAATCAGTTCGCTTTGGGATTTCATCTCTGTAACTAGCTTCTGGTATGGGTGTATGAATACTGCCCAGCCTTCCCCGATACTGGAGCAGGGAGAAGGCTAGGCAGGTGGGGTGAGGAAGGGAACAAGCACTTCTCCGGTTGTAGATGGTTTCTTTTACAATTAATGAACACTGAGTGTCCCTTTTCTGACATTTGTCTCCTGTGCCCAAAATTTAAACTTCTTTTCCCTGATGGCTGGAGATGATAATGAACATTTGAAACTCAAAAAAACCAAATAGAAAAGCCTACCCAATATTTAATATCATTTTTTTCTGCTTAGGGAATTCAGGGGGCAATATTTCCCCCCTTCTTTGGAGCACAATGGAGTATACACATAGTATTTCCATATTCCATATTGATTTAAGTGATGTGCCATGCATGGTATCTGTAAATGCCTATCATGGGTGAAAATGTTCAAATCTAATTCTTTAAGAAACCTGCACTGCTCTCTTTTCTTTAATTCTGTAAAAATAATTTTGTGTCAACATAGACATATTTCTGATTTCTTTGCTCTCATAAATAAAGGGGGCCTTCAGTAGTCCAGAGGAGGTTAAATAAAGAAGAAACTTTTCTGTGTATTCATTTCTGAGAAGGGCACCATTACTCAGACCAGAAAAAGATAAAGTGTTCATCATATTCAGCAATATCAAATTCTTTTCCATGTGTTTGATGGCTGTAATTTTTTTCGATATGTCATTTAAAATATCTGTTTTGAGATGGATTCATTGACACAGAAAACAGACTGGTGGTTGCCACAAGAGAGATGGGGAAAAGGTGAAATAAGTGAAGGGGGAATAATTAGTGAGAATGTTTGGTATCTCGATCTGGGTGGTGGTTACTTGGGTGAATACATGTGTCAAAATGCATTAAGCTGTACAGTAAGATCCGTGCATTTTACTGAGTGTCCCTTGATAAAAAAGTAAAGTTAAAAAGTTAAAAAATTAAATACCTGTTTTTAAAAATCGACATAAAATATGATGATTTTCCAAGTTAAACACCATTCACCGAAATTGACATACATTGAAATGATTCTTATCATTTGTGCCATTTCATGATAAGAAGCAACTATTATGAGTCTTTGCTAAACAAGAAAGCTACTAACACATACATACATTTTTTGGAAGAAATTACTTTTTAGGAAATCAAAAGATCTGATCCGCAGAGTATGTGCTTTACAATAGGTAAACTGAATTCAAAATTGAAACTGAAATGAAGCAAAAGTTTGAAAAAGATTGAATCTGGTTGGCAGCATAATCACATGATTTACTAGTTCACCTCATGGTCCTTCAAGTGCAGTCAGTTTTGCATTACATATATTACCAGAAAATGAATTTTTTTCTCCTCTCCTGTCTATGGTCACTGCTGGTAATAAGCAGTTGCTGGTTTGTAAACTATGCCCACCAGCACCAGCACCACCACTGAATCCAGTTAACACCCTTAGTATTTACTAAATAATGCTAGCATTTTATGACAGGCAGTGTTCTAAGTCTGCACTGTCCAATATGGTAGCCACTAGCCACATGTGACTATTTAAATTTGAATTAATTAAATTACAAATTCAGGTCCTTAGTTGTACTAGTCACATTGCAAGTACTCAATAACAACATGTGGCTGCTGGCTATCGTATTGGGCAGTGCAGATTTAGAATATTCCCATAATCATAGAAAGTTCTATTGGACAATGCTGTTAAGTGATTTGCTTATATTAACTCATTTAATCCTCACAACCCTATGAGGTAGATGCTGAGTCTCTTTTTTACAGATGAGGAAACCGAGGCACAGGGAAGGTAAATAACTTGTTGAAGTTCACACAAATAAGTTGGGAAAGTGAGATTTAAATGCAGACAGCCTGGTGCCAGAGTCATTGCTTAACCACACCCCTATACTGACTCTGATTAATAATAACAATAATAGAAAGTTACATTTTCCTCAGTGTTTATTTAGTAATGTAGACATTGTGCTAATCATTTTATTTACATTATTTTATTTAATCCTACAGCTCTATGCCTTGGTGGGTAGACATTTTCATTATATCTATTCTGTTCACATGAAATTTAGAAGATAAACAAAATGCCCAAATTTATAGAGCTAGTAAGTTGGTAGAACCCAGGGATGAATCTTGGTATTTCTGACTCCAAAACACTCATCTTTAAACACTACTTACACTCTCGTCTCTGACAGCAGAGAGACAAAAATTGTAACATTTTCCCCCAGCTTGAAATAGCTTCTTTATTTTCTGAAATATACTGAAGAATCCTTTGCAGTATTACCTTATGTTATCACTAAAATACCAGCTGAGCACAATGATTATGATTGACCCTGAACTAAATTCTAAAACATATATACAACCCAACTCTTTCTTTTTGACTTTATGGAAAAAGAATTAGATTCTTATGCCAGAGTATAATGTGACAAGGTAGCATTGGGGCCTTAATATATTATATTACTTGGTGATAATAGAAATTTCTGTTTAGGGTAAAGATAGAGATATAATTTAAAAAAATAACCAGTAGCCCAAACAGAGTAGGATAATACAATAAGTAGATGAAATTTGTTATTCTTGATGGTTTACTTAATATGTGTATTTCTTTTAAAGATTAAAAATAGCAAACAAGAAATGTATAGACAAAATTACATTTTAGATACCCCAGTTAGCAGTGATTTCTCATTTTCATCGTCAAATGTGCTGAGCAGAGAGATGGGTGTGTGCATTTCAGAGTGGTGGGCTCACTCACAGACCTCGTCCGGGCTATGCTCTCTGGGCCAATGGAGTCCACCCATTACCTGCTCCTCTGTGACCAACAACCGTGAATGGATGGAGAGTCAGCTACCCAACCAGGTAGAGCCAGGGCTGGTGGTGCCCCACTGGGACCCCCAGGGAATAAAAAAGGCTTCACGTAGAGCCCCCATGATGGGGACAAACGTATACAGCTTTTTCTTTGTTTTTCTCCACAAGTGGCTTAAGTACCGTGGCTTGGTCGCAGAGAGTGACTGCATTTCAGGGAAGCTGCAGAGAAAGCATGATGGACTCAGGGTCTCAAAAGCAGGGA